TGTTTACACAATATGAAATAATGGAAAAATTGTATAATTATATTACGAAATGCGACCCTGGCTACGTCGTGTTATAACGTTTGTATTATGACAGATGCGCTACTTTTTCTTGTATGAAAATCTTATGAGTAAATTATTTATATGGGCCTATCCTTACGCTGGTAATATATAAGTCAATGCGAAAAACGCAGAACAATATTTTAGCCAGCCAATTCTTATCCAACCTTAAAACTTGTTTTTGTCAAATGTGAACCGATTTGAATGATTATTTATTATTTAACTTTACTAAATGTTTTGTGGTCCTATTTAAATTTATAGAAAACTATAACCCTTAAGGGTGAATTATATTAAAATTGCATTACTTACCAAGGAGTACTGCCTCGTTGGTTACTAGACCAACGAGGCAGTACTCCTTGGTAAGTAATGCTGTGATAAAGTTGTAGTAGTGCCACTGATCATGAGGGCCTGGGTTCAAATCCCGGGTCGGGCCAAAAAATCATTTATTGATTTTTTCAGTCGAGAAATTCTCAGTAGCTGCCCGGAGTCAGGAAGTCGGCGGTGTCTCACCTCCGTGCCTCGGAAAGCACGTAAAGCCGTTGGCCCTGCGCCTGATCTCCCTCCGGTCGTGTTGGTTTACCGTCCCATCGGATTATGAGAGTGATGGAATAGAGAGTGCACCTGTGCTAGCGCATACACTTGGGCACTATAATCCTGTCCTGCGCCTTTGGCTGGTCTCCATTTAGGCTGGCCGTCGTGACCAGAATTCGGTCTGGAGGACATTATTTATTATTAGTGATGGTGTACGAATATCCACTACCCCACGTCATTAGAGGGAAACAAATCGGGAGATGGACGGCAGATTCTTTCTGATAACGAATAAAAATAAACAACTGTGGTTGCCAACTCGCTTGCCAAGCGTGGCAACTATGACAAATATAGCCCTATGATGCAATCTATTGGGTAGGCCTGAAGTTTGATTTAACTATTTAAACCATATTTTAGTTGTTTCGTTAAACTTGTGATATTCCTTGTTCCACTCAAAAGGGGCAGATAAATAACTCTTTTATATAATGTAAAAGGTGATTTCAAAAAAACTAAAAATAATACAATAATTATATTTGAATACTGAATGATCTAGGTTGTACAAAAGAAAAATACAATATGTATCGAAATAGCGAGTTTCCACTAATAACTCGCTATTTCGATACATATTGTATTTTTCTTTTGTACAACCTAGATCGTTTTTTAGAGAAGAGTAGGTACAGAGAAAAGTAATTGGTAGGATAACGGTGCATGTCACATCTTGAATGGACCCGACCGGGGAGACAATATACACCGAAGAATAGAGAGACAAAATAAAGTACCGGAGATAGTCATTACTGGAAATTAAGCATTTTATTTTAGGCCTCCGGGATGACAACGAATCTGCATTTTGTTTCATATAAGATGTAGGTGTCTATCGTTCGCAGTACCCACTTATCATCATGTGTACTGTGTGCTCGTTTGATACCCTTACTTACTTACTTTGATACCCTCGATGATTTTGTATTATCTTACGCGGATCGTAGGCATTATAAACTTATCACATTTATCTTTGTTGCCAGCCTTAGGACGTAAGGGTCAGTTCATACCAAAAGGTGACGCGACGCAACACAGTGATATAAAATATAACTTTTTTTTAGTACACAAAAAATACACATCGCGACGTCCCGAAACGCCGCGCTGCTCCACGAGATCCTTCGCGGCATAGCTTATAGCATCATGACCCAAAGGTACTTCGTCGGTAGGCGAAGCCGCAACTACTAGACTAGTCTTATCCTATTCGGTATGAAACCACTAGTCTCTTCAAGAATCGTTGCATATCTGTCAAAGGTGGGAAATGTCCATTACTGCGATTGTCGAACCCCCTGCCAAGTATGACCTAATTTTGTAATATCTCATAGAGAAAATTCCTTTCTACAATAAGAGAGGCCCATTTTCAGCAGCATTTTAATGTTAGCTACATAGATGCCACTTTATTGATAACGAAGTTTAGCTTGGTAATGGAAGCTTTGAGCAAATTATAGATTATTATATTTTTAAAAAGTTCACGTTTCTGAATATTTTTTAATTAAATCATTTTATTTGTTGAATGTTGCTTAGCGGCAATTAAAGAAAAGCGTATATAGTAGAAAACAAAACAATCTTTTTCTCACTAGCCTTTTGTTATTTGACAAACATTTATCAAAAGTTAAATCAACCTAACAATAGAGCACAATACGTTGATGCTGTCTCATTAAGAAGCAAAGCATCCACGTTGCGAAAATGAAGAGAAATAAATCTCACTAACAATGAGGTTAATTAAAAAGGTTTTCTTTTATTTTACAGATATTTGTTTTAACTTTCGAATGAGAATCAGGCGGAGAAAATATTAAGACAGTGCCCCGTAGCTTCCTTACAAAAAGTTATACAAGGTCCTTGATCCAAAAACTTTGATTGCATACGTCAAGAACGTTATCTACCTTTAAATAACAATAACACTTATTAAAATAATAAGAACAAACTTCAGCGCATTATAGCGCCAACATAGTCCAACGGATTAATAATCAGAAGTGGCAATGGGCGAGCCATGTAGCTCGAAGAACTGACAACTGATGGGGAAAAAAGGTTCTCGAGTGGCAGCCTCGTACCGGTAGGTGACGTTTAGGGCGAACCCCACTAGATGAAGTGACGACCTGGTAAGGCATGCAGGAAGTCATTGGATGCAGGTGGCCTAGGACCATGCTTTGACATCCACATCATCCTTGGGGGAGCCTTATGTTCAGCAGTGGACTTGGGAGGGGCTGTAATGCTTATGTTAGTGATGATCAGTGCATTAGGTATACTTTCTTTGAATATACATAGTTTTCTTTTAGCTAAAATTTTAACGCAAGTTATGCACACGCATACGACCTACCGTAGTCTCATATCATTCTAGACTTAGTGACTTGTTGCTCATAGGTAACAAATAATGAATTACGCTTTTGACCGCTTCTTTCCGGCTATTGCTCGTTAATAATATTTAAAGCAGAAACACAACATTCAGATAGGGCCATAAACACAGCTTGTAATATTCAGGTAGCACAGTGGATAAGATGCAACTGGCCACGGGTTCCATGCACGGTTTATGCTATTCTATGCATACATGCATACATTCAATTTCACCGGAGTCGGATGTAACATGTGGAAAAAATTCCACCCCTAAAGTGGCAAAATAGGGGTGAACATTTTAATGAAACTATTTAAAAAATATCGATATTACTCGTACATATGTCATTCAATAGTCCACTCTAAGAAAAAGGTAAAAAAATAATTTTTAATAAAAAGTTAAATCTGACTTCAAGGAACTAAAAAGAATAAAATAATTACTCATTCTGAAGTTAGAACTTCGATTCTACTGTATACTACGAGTATGTCTAAGCACCGACTTGAAAATGTGAAATTATTTAAATGTCCCAATCATGATTATAGCGACATATTTTAGTAGCGTTGATATTAAGGCATTTTTTGCATACGATAGTAACTTCTATTTCCATTTTCTCCTTTTTCGGCAGCTGTTATAGATGTATAAAACTTTAAAATAATATAGTAGTTTCACCTACCATTTTTTAATATTACAGTATTTTAACCACTTGTAAACATTGCTGTATCATTGACACTATTTTAATATTACTATTGACAAATTTGGGTATAAATAAAACTTAGGGAAAATAAAACACTTTCTGCAGTATTGACGCGTGGTAGTTTAGCGGCTAAACGCGCACCGTAAATTTCACAGAACGCAACCCGCTTACAACCAACCCGGGTTAGATCGCTGCCAGCTCTAGTGATTAATTGAAATTTTAAAATGCTGATTTATTGTGTGCTTGGCGTTGAACAAACACATTGGGTGCGATTGGCATAAAAAAGCACGCAAGCAAAAGCATCCGGTAAGCGCTTCAAATGTAATAGCATCTCAAAACTAGTAGACCAAAAAATGTAAAAAAACAATTCATACTATCATTCATTATATACTAAAACAATTTGCAAAACAACTTATAAACTCTACTTCAAACACATTAAGCAAAATGGCCGATTGTGTCAGCGCTACTGAAGTTAGCAAACGTGTCCTGGCCGAAAACTGTTTAGTTTCGCCATTTTGCTTACAATCGCTTGCTAGCGCTTTTTTCTGCCAAACGCACCCACTGTGTGGAAACCTAAATGTCTGTCAAATTACGCTAGCAACCTGTTTTCGATACTCGCCGGCACCAATGAAATTGTTAACACTTGCTACTCCAAGTTTAAGTTAATAATTTATCATAAACATAAAAGGAGAAATCACTTTATATGCTGATGATACTTGTCTGTTTTATTTCGGTAGGTCAATTGATACTGTTATTGAGGATGCATAAAATGACCACAATCTTTTACACAGGTGGTTCGAATGTAATCTTATTACAATTTAAGGCTAACTATATCGTATTTAGTGCTAAAAAAATACAATACATAAACCTGACAGTTTTTAGGTTTAATTCTCGATGAAAATTTGACCTGTAAACTACACCTCGAAAAAATACGCGGTAAATTGTTATCATTTTCAAGACTGTTGCGAAATATTACGGGTTTTCTTCCATACAATGTTCGCTACATTACATATAATTCAATTATCAAGCCGTACTGTGTACGATTACTTAATCGAAGTATGGGATTCTGCTGCAAAGACAAACCTGGAAGCTATATAAATTGCACAAAACTAAGTATTACAACAACATTATTTAATTATGATTTTATAAAGCCAACAAGAGAAATATATAAACAGTCAAAAATACTTAAATTAACAGAATACTATAAATACATGTCTTTTAATATTTAAAACTTTCCAAAAAATGATACATACTCAAATAACCATCATCTTAACCCTTTATAAGGTAAAGGTAGTATACTCAAAGTGGTGTTTATCTGACGGAAAATTTCATCTAGTTAGATCTTAGATTTTGGCTAAAATGGTAAGATAACTTATTGATTATTATTTTGTATGTATTGTGCTAATGTTTTGCGTGCGATTTTGGCACTGAACGTTTGGTATCTTGTTTTATTTAAATTTTTATTGGTGGCAGTATCTATGCCACTACCCGTTCACTGTTGTTTTGGTGGCAATATAAATGCCATTGCCTGTTTGTATTTCAGGCATACCTAAATGATGACGATATTGAGAATGAGCTGGAGCAAATGTTTGGGTTTCTTGATAATCCAGACGAATCGGAAGATGAGTACGAGGGCGAAGATAGCCTAGAAATAGGTTTAGGTATACGTGCGATGTCGGAGGATCCCAATATTATTCAAAATCAAGGAAATCCAGTGCCTGGACCATCAAGACGCAGTCCTGTGAGTTTCCTTTCTTCTAGTGATGGTGAAATGAGAGAAAATATTGATCCTAATATAGGAGTACCTAATATTGAAACCATTCTATTCGAATCCATTGTATTCATTTCTAATCCAACAGATTCCACTACATTCCTAGTTAGATGTAGCTACAGAAATCTAAATATACCTTGTCGCCGCACATGTGACTCGTAGGCCACAAGCGCGCGAGGAGCGTTTGTTTCGGTCAACAGTACTGTTTCGGACACAGATACGTAAAAATGGTGTTTTGAAGCATATCCAACTACGGAAATTCCTCCACAACTTGCAAATTTTCAAATAAATGTATAACATTTCATAAATAAGTACTTAGTGTTTAAAATAGTAATGTGTTTAATGAAATATACTTAAATAAAATTATCCACCTCCAGTACTACGATTGTCTCCAAAATTTTAATCGTTTTCACATTTCAATATCCTTTGATTCTTAAGCTAGTTCATGTCTACGAGTGCGACAGCTAAAATCAGCGATGGATTTATAGTATGGGCAATAAACAAAATTGTTGCGTACGTAAATTTCCCAAATCACGGCCGCAGGAGTCGAATGCGAGTTAGTTACGTGACACAACTATTTTGTATCGATAATTTATTATGTTTGGCTTACCTTGTTTTAACGAAACGGGAATCAAATGTGATTTTTCGTTAAATATTTATTTACACCTTTCTACTGTTTTTCCTTCTAAATATTTTATACCGTTAACCGTTTATCAGCGATTATCTGTTTGTTTGTACTTTTAAATTACTTGATAAATTTTTAATCAGTTATATTGTAAGGATAAGTAATTAGAAGCTAGAAAACTGAAAAGTAGCAAACAACATAAAGTCAGTTACAGATCTTTACAACTAATAAAAATGATAAATATGTCACCCATACATGTATTTATTCTTTTGCTGTTTGTGTAATGATATATTCATTTTATTTATACATCTGTTTATTTAACACAATGCTTTTATTACAAGTTTCCAAAAGATCCGATTATTAAAGATAAATGCACTTTAATAATTTATTCTTAACGTATTTTTATTTCCCCTTTTTTCTAATTATAAAACGTGTAAAAGCTAAAGCTAAGACTAAAAGCGTCTATTACTAAGACAATTTCAGTGAATTAGTTATATCTTGGTGTGAGACTCCTGGAAGATCGACGATGCACATACGACGATTAATAGAAAGTTATCGAAACGTGCGTTGGGTTGCACTATGCCTAAGTGAGAGTCAGCGTAATGTCTTTCTCTTTTTTTCGCACACTTTAAATATTGGACCGAGTGGCTACGCTTCCTGAGATTTTGCGTTTTTATAAAATATTACTTAACGCAATATTTTATAGATTAATCTTTGTTGCATGAATGCTAGAGATATTTATAGGCGTAATTTTGTATTTATTGTTTGTCTATGCGTGAGAGCTACGACCTGGCGACACGCGTCCTGATATTAAAAGACAGTAGAAGGCATTTCTATTGTCTTATTATTTAGATTTCTGTGGATGTAGCTAATTGTCTTCTCACCTCATCACTACACGCAACATAGAAGCGTTATGTTGCTTTTTATCCGACTGCCACAGAAGGAAGGTAATGTTTTTCGAGTGTTTGTATGTGAATACCTATTATTTTTGTGAGCACTACGCATCTAAGTGGCTTGATGAATTTTAGCATATCGGGTGTCATTAGATTCTTCATAATTATGGAGTTGACACACGTTATGAAAACATTCTCATTTGATAAAAATTTTTTACGTAATCGGGTTTATTTTAATTACTGTTTTTAGCGCTTGCCCGCGGTCCATTTTTTATAAATAAGAATAACAGGCGAGTATACAGTACACCTGATAACAATTGGGTGCTTTGGCTCATAGACTACTTACATTTCAATCAAATCAAAATTTATAAGACTAAGCATCAAGGTAGGCATCTATAGGCAATATAAGGCATCAAGGCCATACAAGTACAAATAATAAGTGTAGTATAATTTAGAAAATAAACCAGTGACCTACACTATCACATAAACACAAGCCATTATTAAGAATATACACTAGTTAGTATCACATACAATAATTATGAACTATGTAGTATGAATAAATGGGCTCAAGTGCCATCCTATACTAAGCTGCCGACTACTGGTAAAGACCAGTAGTCGGCAGTTTACTCAAAAACTTCTAATAATTAAACTCATAAAAAGTACCCTAAGTGAGTATCTCTAAATTTGCGATAATCAATGTCTTCTGTCTGCTACGTAGGTAACCTTCTTAGTATATGTTAAGTACCGACTTCAGAACCTTTTATGCAGTAATTGTTTTCACTTTTTAGCCTTTGGATGTCAGTTTTTAGTCTTTCTTTTTTAAAGATCTGTCACCCGTGAGGACTAAGATGGAATGCCTCGTTTCCAGTAAAAAGGGTCTCCGGTACTCTACACTCACCATACGAAACACAGCAGCAACAAGCTACTATTTTACGCTGTAAGACTCTTTGTAAAGACAAATTTATTTTTCCATTTATAGGTGTCGTAGCGGTGTAAGTTAATCTACTATACAACGTCCCACCGTTAGTGTCTTAATAGGTGACAGAGGGAAATTAAAAAATCTCTCTTATCATAGAAATGATTTCTGTCTCATCATTTCTTCAATCAAAGACTCGAAGCACCATAAACTTTTTTTATGTTACCTTGTCTTATTTAGGGAGGACTTTTTTAAGGACTTTTTAACTATTTCAAGAGGTTACTGCAACATATTCCAGTAGTGATTATTATTTGTTGTCTCCAGTAATGGATACAGGCTCTCGAGAACAATAGCCTCCGTATCATTCGGAGCAAGACTGAGTTTTTGAGGTGCAGTTGCAGTGAACAATATACGCCCAACGAAAGTGTCTCCATCGACGGTCAGCCACTGCAAATTCAAATACCTCCGTTCAGTGCTAACGGTTGACAGCAATATCGACGCAGACGTAACTCACAGGATTAACGCAGCGTGACTAAGGTAGAGAATCATTTCGGGAACACTTTGCAGTAACAGGATGTCAATACAACTGAAAGGCAAAGTTTACAAAACGACCGTAAGACCTGTCATATTATATGGTGTTGAATGCTGAGCTACCAAGAAGATGCACGAAAAAAGTTGCACACGAATGAAATGAAAATGCTACGATGGTCAGCAGGCGTAACAAGGCTCAATAAAATACGCAATGAGTACATCAGAGGCTCCTTTAAAGTTACACCTACTGTACTGTACTGTATAACATGGTCAAAATTCGTATGCGATGTTATGGGCATGTAATTAGGCGAGAAGAAGAACACCCAGTGAGGAAAGCCTTGGCAATTCAAGAGAAAAAGAAAGTTGGAAGACGCCCGTTAGCCACCTAGTGCACAACCGTAACCAGGGATCTGGAATGAATACAGCTTGAAATATAGACAATTCAAGATCTAAGGGTACTAAACGAGGAGAACTGACCCCAAATATAGGGACAACGCAAGGAAGAAGAAGAAGAAGAATCTGTTGTGTCCAGTACAGCTATCTTACATAATCTTTTATATTTTTTTCCTATAAGGAATAGTTACGTTGCGTTGATCGTAGTACGAATTTCTCATGTATTACCATTATTTGGAGGCTAAAAAAATATTTTCTCCGTGCTAGTATAAATAAAAATAGAAGGAAGTACAGTTGTCGCGTATACCTAAACCTGTTACGAACAGCATCATCAAAGGTGCGAGGCGTCTGGTATTATAATCATAAATCCGCCTGCCGAATGTGAGATTAAGGCAGATCAACCCTCAAACGGTAAAGGCTTATGTTCAGCTCTGGATTTTGACCGGTTGATGCAAAAGAAAAAAAAATATACAAATATTATCTCATTTTTTACAGATTCTTTAAATAAATTTCGATTGTTTCGATTCCAGTGGAATCAGATACAAAAAAAATATTTATTACCTGAGCCTCCAGTCATATTGTTATATAAATACTGTTACAAAATAAAAAAAAATTCTACTGAAAACGAATATTTACAATCATCATCATCATTAGAGCCCTTCACAAGTCTACCGCTGGATATAGGCCTTCCCCAAGGAATGCCACACAGTACAGTCCTCAGCCACCTGCATCCATCGACTTCTTACATGTCTTACCAGGTCGTCACTCCAGCTAGTGGGGGGCCGCCCATCACTCGACCTACCGGTACGAGATTAAAAAAACGAACATCATATTATTTTATTATATTAAATATCAGCTTTCGCAAGGATCAGTCACTTGAGATGAATTAGTTGGTATTCATACCTAATCACGACGAGTTCGTGAAAGAAAATTTTACAAATTTCATTTTGAATTAAATTACGAAGGACTATTACTGATCGATGTTTATGAAATAGCGTTTTTATTACATTCCTAAGCAACCTACCTAAGCATACTGCTGAAAATGTTAGAAAGAAAAAAAACCTTTTTCAGTTCGCACTATTGCCACTCTTAGCAAGACGCTGCTGCCTATCTCCTGTGTTATTACCCTGCGTCAACTCTTATAATAATAAATAATGTTTATTATTATAATTTATTTTTTTTCTTTCTTACAGTTATGCATTCCAAATAAATAAGAAAACTACTACTAAACTATGAGTAATGCACAAAAAATAACTAAGTAATTTATTTCGAACAAACAAAGTCCACAATGTTTTAAGCCCACTAAATTGTGCAACAGTATATCGTTAAATAAGTCATTTTATTATAGGTTGTTTCTTCATAAAGATATGTTTAATTAGATAGTACATAAGTAGTATTGCTTAACATAATACAAATTAGATACATACACGAGGGTTATAAGAAGTGTATACATAACGCGCTGAGTGAGTTTCTCTTTACTTTCCTTTAACTACGTACATTAAATTTAATGAGTAGTACTTCAAAGTATCTTAATAGAATATCAAGACCCTCTGTGTCAAAGAGCTCGTTACAACCGGAACTATACAAAGTCCGAATAAAAGTTTATTCAAACTGTGAAGTTCAATAAAGTGTAAGGGTACAAAGTAAATCATTGTAGAATACAAATCACGAGTTTTTAAAATTCTTTGAGCGAGCTCTCTCCTGTCCAAATCGTAAATGAGTTTTTCGATTATTGTTTTATAAGTTTTCCTCAAATTGTACAACACATTCTTAAAGTAAAGTAAAGTTACAGCCTATATACGTC